CCAAACCCCATGTTTCGCAAACTTTCGCAACCTTATTTTTTCAAGGGTTGAAAAAAACATGAAATAATCTAAAAACGACATTGAAAATTATGAAATCTCGCTAAAACTCCGACCCGTTGCATGATTTCCGGTACACTGAAGGTCACCCTGCAGACCGACTTGTTTGCGCATGCGTAGTTAACGAAATATTTTACTGCGCAGATATGAAATATTTTTTTCAAGTTTTCCGTTTCCAGCAAAGCGGTTGATACAGGCGTATCGGCGGCAACTAACATGGAGTATGACTAATGTTGTTGAAACAAAAGCGAAAGCACTGTAAGATAAACTAAGACAAAGGTTTTTTTAATCCTCTTAGTTTCGTTGTTCTTCCTGGGGTTTATAGTTCCATGATCTAAACTTGTCTGTTTTAAAAAAAACTAGTCTGAATTTAAACTTGTCTGTTTTACACATATAATTTGCACGGTTATGTATCAACTCTTCTATTCAGCTATTTGGCATTCTCTAAGAGGTGAACAAGTAATATTTCACCCAGAGGGTTATACAGTCCCCTGATCTCAAGGCCTACCTACGACTTGTGATAATACTGTAAATGCATTAATTATTCACTGGGTTTTAAGTGTCCTATTTGCGTTGTGAAGTTAAATCCGCAAAATTAAATGAAAATGTAAAATAACAACAGAACTCATTGTTTCCCTGCCAAGTTTGTGAAAAATTAAAACAATGAAGCATCGAAATAGTAAAATTAAATGCCAGTAAGAATAAATGGTTTTACAGTAAACTTTTAGCTATCAATAACCACAATGTTTCTCACACAGAGTCCTTCAAGACAACAACAACAACTGAAACAAAAATTACATGAACTTCGTAAGCAGAGAAAAGAGTTGACACTGGAACAGAAAGATGAAAATGAGATACACCGACAACAGTTTGCTAAGACGAGGGAACCACTATTAAATGGTCTCACTTCACAATACGACTTAGATTTATTTAAAGAAGCCCAAGCCCGTGCATCAGAAGAAATGGTGAGGAGAGAATGTTTTGTTTTGTTTTTGGTATACTTACAAAGTCCTAATGCTGAAGCTGAAACTGCTGGTTTCCCTGGTAAATGCCCATGGCAGTTGATGTGCATAATTAACCTGCTGTTACTTGAAAATCTGTGAAAATCTTGAAAATGTGAGAAATTATCACAGTAGAAAGTTCAACTTTAACCTCATTTCAGATTTTCCTGCTAGGTATTTTGAGGGTGCTTTGCTTATGCCAGGGTTATGGTTTGGCTGCTCGTTCACATCATTTACGATTCATATTCATGTAAATTGAGCAATAAACCAAGTACATTGTACATGTAGTAACAGGATTAATTTCATAGATTAACATGAATAAATGAGTGTATATAAATCAGGTGGTTCCTGTATAAATAAAAATATTATACATCTACATTTGTAGCACTGCAAACAATAGAATTTGCCATTCCATGAAAAGAACTGGTTCTGAATCATATTAGCACTCAATGTTTGAATATTCTCTTATATGGGATAAACTGCGTCACCAACATTAAATCGTTCCAGAAATGAACACAGAAATGCTATAGCACATGCTGGAATCTTATTACTAATGCAAATGTTCGCACAGTGTAAAACATTTTTCGTTGTCATATTGGACTCTTATATCTCATTAAATTATTACTACAAGCAGGAAAAAGATGTATAACATTATGGTTGTCATGAGAATATTACAGGGTTTGCGCTAGTGTCTCGTCAAGACGAGTCCCACTTACCAAATTTTAAGAAATTGAAATTTGATCCTGGATAACTTTATTAGAGATTGAACCCCAGCTTGCTTGAAAAACTGGGTCCCTCTTCAATAATTGGAGTGTTGGAAGCAAAATATGGGGTTAACGCACTTGTGCAGTATGTGTTGGTCAATACGATCTCCATACCGTCTTTGTGTATAATTTGCGTTATCTCTTGATAATCTCATAGCATTCAGAGGTTTTATCAAGAGCCGGCTGTCGGCCATATGGCCTGCTACAAGCCCACATTGGCCGTCTACTCTCTGCCCCCGATCGCCTACGCCGGTCTCGCTACACTGCCGAGAGTCTTTTTATTTATTTTTTTGGATGATGGATGATGGCCTGCTATTAAATGTATTTGTGAAATTCATTTACTGAATTATTTTCCCCAGGAAAATGATGCGCAAGGATTCGTGTTTGAGGGCGGCACCAAATCCATTGAGTTTGGGAAATATGAACTGGATACCTGGTACTCATCGCCGTACCCGGAGGAATATGCAAGACTCTCCAAATTGTTTCTGTGTGAATTCTGCTTAAAGTACATGAAGACTGCGACTATTCTCAGACGTCATATGGCAAAGTGTGTTTGGAGGCATCCACCAGGAGATGAAATATACAGAAAAGGAAATACATCAGTTTTTGAAGTGGATGGTATGAAGAATAAGGTATTGTTATTTTTTTTTTTTACATTCAGGTAAGGTGTGCATACTACCTTCTGGTGGTGATAGTGTTAAATGTTCACTGTAAAATACAATAACTGTGATGTTCTCTTCATGCCTTTTAATTATGGATACTGGTACTTTACAATACTAGGTCACATAAATGCCATGCTGTCAAGTCGCAGTAGAATTGCTAACAATTTATGCAAATTATCATATTAGTATGCCAATTAGCCATGATGTATGGGCGTTTGGTTGGAGAGAGCATTGAATGCTATGTCTTGCAAGGTGATCCTTGTATATTGATGGTTTAGCTACATGTATGTATATTCATTTGCACAAGGGATTGTGTTGGCATTTTCATGTACAAGTCCTGGCGAGAAATTATTTGGTTTATTATTATTATCGAAAATGAGGTCCCCCCTCTAATACTAAGGGGTAAGGGCCGGGGAGCAAAATTTATGATTAACATATACCCTGCTGGTAACAGGACATTGACTGACAACAATTGAAGTTACATGTACATGTAACACCCAGAAAAATGAAACAGCTTTTCTTTCGTGTATTTACATCACAGAATTATTTCAATGCTATTAGGCACTCTTATGAGAAAGGTGTGTTCTGTTTCATCTGAATAACTCCAGTCACTGACACTTGATATCAAGCTAGGGTTCATATATCTAGCGTGTTTTGAAATTTTTTTTTTCTTTTTTCAGATTTACTGTCAGAATTTATGCCTTCTTGCCAAGCTGTTTTTAGATCACAAAACATTATATTACGACGTTGAGCCGTTTCTTTTCTATGTGATGACGGAAGCTGATCACACTGGTTGCCACGTAATTGGTTATTTTTCTAAGGTGCGCGTAAGTTGTTTTTATATATTTCATGGTAGTTAGACACTGTAACATGATCTAATGTGGTAGTTTATTACATGACCTCAGTGTGTATTATTAGTCTTACATTTCATGTGAAATATCACTCCCGATGAGATACAGTATGGCAACCTGACCAACATTTTTGTCATTTATATGCAATCTGCTTTGATCACATTTGTGTCATCTAACGCTATCGCATGACCATTTATCCAGTTTCGCATTTATTGTTTCATGGTTATAGACTTATTAACAAAGTGGAAATAACAAAATATTCAAATCTGTATTAAAAAATAGATCACAAAAAATAAATAACAGGCAAATAATCAACATACATATAGTAATACATTGTATCATTAAGAATAAAAATATATACGGTAGACCCTATGGTACACATGAAGTGATATCGGGTGATTTGAATAGTAACCCATCTTGCTCCATATGTGGCACCCACCATATCATTCTGAGTTGTAATCAAGTGGTATCGCTTAACCTATCTTATAACCTCGCTTAAACCTATGTGATATCAGATGTAACCTCATTGTATAATTTACGTAAAACATGCTACCATTTTCAGAACTATGATATTCATTTGTAGGGCTAGGAATGGGTTAAATTATGAATGATCAACATTGTATTATACTAAGTAGCCAGAAACAATACAAAATACGTATATAACTTTTTGAAATCATGTGGCAACTGGAAATCACAGTATTTCAGTTTGGTCCACATGTAAACTTTACACCAAAACCAATACCTTGAATGTCACACAAAATGTAATCCATAAATTACCAGAAGCATTCAGCTCTATGACATGCAATTTGTCCAAGCAAAATTCACTTGTATCTACCTAAATATTACACCAATTGATAGAAGTTAAAACTACCGAATTTCAAATATTGCTTCATCTCATTCACCACCCCCCTCCCATTTTGTTGCTGCTACTAATCCTCAGGAAATGCTGATCCATTGTTAACGCATCTTTCTTACCTCTGACAGGAAAAGAGTTCCTTCTTAAACTACAATGTATCATGTATCTTAACCCTGCCACAATATATGAGACAAGGATACGGCAAAATGCTTATAGATTTCAGTAAGTACATTTGTGGTCTCCATGGCTACCGTGCTTTTATCTTATGAATTAAAAGAATGTTCCACAGTGAAGAAGCTTTTACTTGTTATTATTGCCTCCATATATACATATAGTCAAACCTGTGTTAACAGCCACCTTTATACAGCGGCCACCTGCCTATAGCGGTCGCAACCAAACAGTCCCTACAAAATTTACATGTAAAGTATTCTGTATATAGCGACCACCTGCCTAACGCGGCCAACGGCCAGGCTTCAGTGGCCGCAGTGATCAGTTGAACTGCATATAACGGACATAGTTCCCGGATGTTTTGCAGAGTATGCCTTAAACCTCAGACAACTAATACACTCTAAAGATCACAACGGATAAAGTTAGCACGTTTTCACATCTTTCATTCAACCGATGGCTTCGGCAATTATGTTTTATTCTTGTTTATAATTCAGTTTACCATGGCCAACACACCGTACCGATGGCCGGGGAATGCCAAAAACATAATTGAGAATTTTAAAGTGTTCTGATAAACGCATGCTGTCATTAATGTTTTGTTGAAATATGTATACCACGTTCACTGAATCAACAGCCACAGCAATGACGACCTGCAAACGTTTTGTGAATCGCCGATCAAATTGATTACCAACAAAAATCGATATTTATTCATATAAAACTCCTATAAATATCGACAAATACGCATGTAACTGGAACTGGAACTAATAGCTAAAGGAAAAAATCAACGCAACGGCCATGCCTGTTGTTTATCCATCCAAATAAATTATACCAATTAGTCTTGCGCATGTGCGTCCTTCCTGGGTTATGATAACTCTGGTAAAAAAGTACAGTCGCTTCCGTTACTGTGTATCGATCACTGTGAGGGAATGTGTGTGCAGTATCGTCTTGTTGTCCAACTAAATTCGTTCAACATATTTTTTTTTTTGGTCGGTACATGTAACAATAGATGCTTTTAACGATGATGTTAAATTGACCTTAGAGTGCTGGCCAAAGTCGCCAGGCATATTTCACATGTTTCTATTGTTGCAATAGTACAATAACATGGAATTCGCTTAGATTTTGATTGCGCAAAGTAATGTTTTGAATAGAGGGATCAACCATTTCGTAAGTGAGGTAGGTCAGGAAGATTTTTGAAAAAAATAAACAAAATGTTAAGGGAATTGTGTTTGGGGAGTAAACTTTCAAGTTGTCACATAAGTGTTCTTTTTGTGTACATTGTAGGATCAATAAAGCACTGCTAACTGTCCCTCTCCCTGTGTACCAGACACAATAAATATTTAAAGAACATAAAAATTCAAAATAGCTAAGCAAAGCAAGCTGAGTGATTTCTTTAGTAGGAAATGAGAATAAAACTGCTGCTGAACATGAACTTTACTGTACAAATCTTCAAACATTTAATTTTCGATACTACTCATTATTGTGCAATGATAGATTTTTGTGAAATGATTTTAATTTACATAATACAATTTAAAATTGAATAAAAAAATCAACATTTATTTGTAATAAAGTGTTTGGATACTGTGTACAGTAGTGTGACAGTGTGTGTCAAATGGAGTTGCAAAATCTCTTTTAATACATTAGTTAATAAATTAGTGAACCTGTCTAGAAAGGCCACCTGTCTATAAAGGCCAAAATCTCAAAGTTCCATGGGTGGCCAGCATAGACAGGTTTGACTGTATTTATATTTATTATACATCTGTCACCATAACACCATAAGTTACAGTGTGAAGTAATTTTGCGGTATTTTACAGGGTATTTTCATCCTACCATATAATGGAAATGCGAATTCTAAATATGGAATAATTACGCACGTAAGCGTCCTCTAATAATAAAAACAAACATGGCTCCCAAATGGGTTGACCGGACTCCACTCAAAGTAGTTCGCTTATTCTGTTCTATACTTGTTGGGCTTAGGCATTCCCATGATGTATCCTTGGAAGGAATAGATGTATAATAATAAGGTTATTACGAGGATACCTGAAACTGCATTGCATTAACCTCTACTGCGTACCGATCGGTACTCCTGTTGTACTGTCTTTGTGCATACTTTGAGGTATCCTCCTATTAACCTCATAATATATATATACAGTTGTATATACAAAGAATTCAAACATTCCAAAAATAGATTTTTCTTACGTGTATGTATCCAGGCTTTTATTTTTTTCAATTAAAATTTATAATTTTGATGTTTTTGTGTGTTTTGTAGGTTATTTGTTGACCAGAGTAGAAGAAAAGACCGGATCACCGGAAAAGCCATTATCGGATCTGGGGCTTATCAGTTACAGGAGCTATTGGAAAGATATTTTGCTGCGATATTTGAGTAATTATCACGACAGAGAGATATCCATCAAAGGTGTACTTTTTAGTTTTCAATGTGTTTTTTTGTTTTTTTTTTACTTTTCCAAAAGTTACTTGTTCTGATCTCTCATTTGATATATATATGCATGAAAACAATGTCATTCACGGCAACAACTATGTTTTGTGTGTGGTTTTTTTATCATTGATGTATGTTTCAGAATACTTGATTGTTTTCCTAAGCAGTTGAGATCCAGTGTGCACAAGTTGACCTACCCCGTGTCCTTTGACCGGATAGAATACCATGTGATACTACAGACAGTTTCTGACATGCGATTAGCATGTTTCAAAAAGTAAAACCAGTACTGGATAAGATTAAACAACTTTCATTGTGATAACAGATAAAATTAAAATGGATTTTATTTTGCAAAAAATCTACAAGTCGTTTGTACGGTGCTAATAATTTAAATCAGTTGGAATAATTTCCATGTACATTTCAATTCAGATATAAGCCAAGAGACGGGAGTGAATCCGTACGATATTGTGAGTACATTACAGTCATTACAGATGCTGAAATATTGGAAAGGAAAACATCTTGTGTTAAAAAGACAGGTCAGTGAATCACATTACATGATACCTTCAAATTTGTGAAAGAAATTGAAAAATTTTTTGCGATCAAATTTCTGAGCTTTATTGGGATCTTAATTAAATACTATAATGCTTATATTTTGCCACAACTTTAATGTATCGTGTGGAGAATTAAAACAAGCAGTGTGTGCATCTCACCACGTATCTAACACAAGGGGATTCCAAATGATATAACGTTGATGTTTCATTGACGCAATCAAATAGCGTTATTCATAGAAAAAAATAAATTATACTTTCCCTGGTTACAACAAAACATATTGTCTAGAAAAAAAAGGCATAAATTTATTTGTACATACATGTACATGTATAAATAAAAACAGATGCCACTTAGAGTTCTCTAAAAAATCGCAACCAAACAAAAGGGTGACAGCCAACCATATTTCATTAATGAAAACATTAGTGGCCACATGAATCCACCTACGCTGATTTTCAACACCGGCAGTTGGACCACCTAAAAACGAAAGAAACTATTGCAGAAGCTAATCAAAAATGTTATACATTTTTTCTAGCTGGATTAAAAAGTAGGCCACGCATCTTTCTCCAAAAAAATCACATTAACAAACCTTGTGCGCCAAATACAATTATTTTGTTTCATTTTATTAGTAACGAAAGTATATTCTAAAAGAAGTTTCAAATAACAATGAACACAACTGCATTGCTTAGTAGCAAATGATCATGGTAGCGCATTCAGTCATGCTGCGTTTTACAACTGTTGATTATTACCTAGTAATGATTATAATAACGTACAAAAAATAAATTCGTTGAATTGTTATGAAATGCAAATAAATTTCAACTTATTTCATCAATTCCTATCGCATATTCGCGTTGATTCGATGCTGTGGAAATGAATATACGCCACCACTCTGCATCGCTAAGCAACCAATCATTGAGAAACGCAACAGAGCTCAGTAAATACGCTTGGTCATTAAAAGACAATAACATCGATTATGACATCAAATGGAGAGTGTTATCGCGTGCTGCACCATATAATACTTCAAGCAAACGTTGCAACTTATGCATTAGAGAGAAATATATTATATTTTTCCAACCACATTACTGTAGTTTAAATAAAAGAAATGAGCTTTTTTCTTCCTGTAGACACAGAGCCAAATCGTTGCTATGCAACAACTAGTTTTAATATCGTAAACACACTCCATTGTTATGCAAATCTGTATCGCTTATAACGTAGTCTGTTTCGGTGGTTTATTTAATAAAGTCTTAACTCCTGATGAGTGAGGTACTTCATGTACCTTACGAAACAGTACTGTGGAGTCAACTCTACTCAAGTAGTGGTGTCTTGATTTCTCTGTCCACGTATATATATATATATATATAAATATATATATATATATATTGAGATACACTTGCTAATGAGTTTACCAGGCTACATTTGTACCTCTTTAAACAAGTCATTAAAAATGACACAGTCCCCGTTAAATGTTTGAAAGTTCACTTTGTGCTCGTCATATTAAAGTGGAGCGTGTCCTTGAAACTTGAGTTCCAAGTGGCATATACAACAGATTGTTTATTTACATCAAAACACGTGTTCCGTGTAGTACCGGTAGTAATATGGCCAAAAATAAAAACAGCCATTATTCAGCCATCTTTGATCTGATTATGAAACACACTGATATGTAGATGATGTATGTGCCAAATTCGAATGAAAATGGTACATGAATTGTGGAAATATAGTAGATTTTGAAACAAATTGTCATGGACATGCATCCTAACATGTATAAAGTACATGTATGTGCCAAATTTGAATGAAAACTGACAGAGCACATCCAAGATACCGCATAAAATCTTTGATCCAATTGCGAAATAAATCATCATGGACATGTATCCTAACATGA